ACAGGATGTTCTACTTCGATGCCAGTTGCTAAGCAATAGTCTTGAAAGACTTGTGAAGTGAATTCTCCCGCATTATCAAGATGTAATTTATTGATTTGATTATCGGGGAAATGAGCCAGCAACTTAATAATTTGTGCCAATAGCTTTGAAAAAGCTAAGTTGCGGGTGGACAAAAGGCACACGTAAGATTATCAAGACGTAATTTCTTGATTTGATTATCGGGGAAATGAGCCCGCAACTTAATAATTTGTGCCAATAGCTTTGAAAAAGCTAAGTTGCGGGTGGACAAAAGGCACACGTAAGACCACTTGGTTGATGCATCTATAAGTACCATAAAGTACCTAAATGGTCCACTTGCGGGGTGAATAGGCCCACAAATATCGCCATGTATTCTCTCCAAGAAGCTAGGAGACTCTAATCCCACTTTCAGAAGGGAAGGTCTCGTGATCAGTTTACCTTGAAAACAAGATAGACATGAGTAATCACTCTTCTGAAGAATCTTCAGGTTCTTCAGGTTGTGTCCACTTGATTGGCTCATGATGCGGTGCATCATTGCTGATCCTGGGTGACCCAGTCTGTTATGCCAAAGTTTAAATTTCGTCGAAGAATGGCACTTCTGGTGCACAATCATGTTAGCTTCTACTGGTTGAATATATGTATGATAGAGACCCGACGGGAGTCCCTTGAATCGTTCTAAGATAGTTTTTGAACCATCTTTTTGACGAGTTACATACAAATACTCATCCTCATTTATTTCATTGGTTTCTAAGTGATATCCGTTTAAACGAATATCCTTGAAACTTATGAGGTTTCTATTAGATTTCGGAGAGAATAATGCATCTTTTATTATTAGTCTCGTTTTATTTGGGAGCAATATCATTGCTTCACCAAATCCTTCTATTATATTAGATAGTCCTGAAATCGTAATTACAGGATCGTCATAATCATATAAGCTATTGAAATAGCTTCTTTCGCGAAGGATTGTGTGCGTCGAGGCACTGTCCACAAGGCACTCACACTTCATCTATAACATGAATGCAATATTTTAATCTAAAGAAAATAACTATCTTTATTGAAAAGTAAATTGCATTACATGGAAAGTAAAGAACTAAAGATGAAAGTACTATGAGAATTTAAATGCATATAAAGATAACATGGATCTAGTCGAGAAGATCATCCATTTCGAAGTCATCAGCAGTGAACTGAGTAGACGGCTGCTTTTCCACCAGATTTGTTTCAACAGGAGACTTCTGGCTCGCTAGATACAGATCTTGGAGGTGTCGCGGAGTGCGACAGTTTCTGGACCAATGTCCAGTCATGCCACATCTGTGGCATTTGTCCTCCCAAGTGTTCTTGGGAATGGACGACAGCTCAGTGGTCTTCTTCTTCCACTTCTTCTTTCCCTCACTATTGCTGCTCTGGGGCGGGTTGTTTTTCTGGGGTGGACATCTGGCCTGCCACTTAGGGGCTTTCCCCTTGTTGAATTTACCCTTATGCTTTTTCTTCTGCTTCTGGGAAGAAAACATGTGAGCTTCGGGTAGAGGAGCTGAGCCTGCAGGGCGTAGGTTATGAGTGGCCAAAAGCAATTCTCTGTTTTGCTCCGCCATCAGAAGGGTGGAGTGCAATTCAGAATACTTTTTGAACTTTCGTTCGCGGTACTGTTGCATGAGGATTGCATCCTTCTCGTGGAAGGATGTGTAAGTCTTCTCCAACATGCGTTCCTCCGAAACTTCTTCACCACACAACTTCAGGCGTGAGGTGATATTATGAAGTGCTGAGTTATACTCAGCTACGGACTTAAAGTCCTGAAGTCGGAGGTTTTCCCACTCATAACATGCATGTGGGAGGATTACATCTTTCTGATGTTTGTATCGGTCCTAAATCAACGCTCGCTATTTTAGCCATTTTATCTATGCATTTGAAAGACATGAATTAATAATAAGGAATTAAAAATTCATGCAATAAACATGTTGCGTGGATCAGCCCGTCACCAAAAAATAAAAAGTGTCCAAAGTCCGATTATACAGACCAAAGATAACAAAAATTATAAAATTAAAATACAATTTGGAAAACCCTTGGGGGTCCCTGTATTTTGCAAAAATGCCTTCGTCTTCAATGGAATACACCGGTCTTTGACTTTTTACAATTATATCCTCACTACAATTTCTCTCTCAGAAGGAAAAGAAAATGCAAGGAATTTAAATTTGGTGACAAACAGGCTGATCCAAAAACCACAACATTATTTATTTAAACATCCACGCAATTTAATAATAATATATGCAACAGGCATAACAATTGCACAACATCTCAGGCATATAATTAGATATAACCTAAATATTTAATAATTATGTGTGCAAGTGGATAGGTAGATAGGCTCTGAGACGTGTGCATGGGACTATGATGGCGACAGTGCAAAGCCTACATGCTCTGTATATTGGGTTTTTAACAACAAATATATCAGCACCTATAGCTTAATGCATCTCTCATTGATCTACTGTGCTATAACTTGAAGAGAGCTATCTCTGCCAAAATATCTGGTTTTAAATGGATATGTTGGTCTCCCACTAGAAAAACTTTTGCTTTGGTCATGTGATACTTTTAGTGGAGAAGTAAATTCCAAACGTAACTAGGTACCTATGTATGTACTAGCCTCTCCAACAATTTCAAAATTGATTAGTTTTAGTTAGACTACAGGGAAACCATGTTTTAGATCATAACCTTAAAGTGGCAAACTTTCATATGCTCTTATATAAAAGTAAGATCAATTTTAATTAGGCCATGTAATTATTAGAATCATAAGATTGATCCGTATATTATCTCTCTGTCTGAAAAAACTATCATATGCTCTTTAATTCAACATTGCCATATCTTGTTCAAGTTACTGGGAATGACTGAAAAAACATAAACATGTAACCCGTGCAAAGATTGGCTCTAATATCAGAAATTTGAGCATAATGATTGGAATTTTTTTTTTATTTTCAGCTGCCATATATTATTCTACGGATTATAGTAATTACCTCTAGATCAAAGATCTAGGGACGATCGATACTAAAGATCCGTAGAACACTGCCTCCTTGCGATGATCCGTCGAACGCTCCCGCTGCAACAAACCAGATCTCAATGCGCAAAAGAGGAAGGAAGTATTTTTTTTATGGCTCAGTGATTCAAGAACACTTCGTGCTGATAACGTGTTTGAAACTCTTACATAGGCCAAAGGCCTATGATGTATATTTATAGATAGTCAATGTGAATAGGTTGAGTACCCAAGAGTCACCCCCACTTAATGGGGTGTTACACCATCATAATGGGGTGTGAATGGAGGGATAATGAGGGGGAGGCCAAAGGCCTCCCTCATCTCATAATAATAAATTAAAAGTTCTCATCATCATTGGCTTACAAGTTCACTCTCTCGGAATTTGGAGAATGATATGCCATTTTGAAGTTGAAGTATTCGTCTCGAGCTGAAATTTTCTTATAGCTTGCTCGTCAAAACCGTCTTCTAACGAATGAGGCTAAAATAGTTCAAATTTTAACTTTGGTTCTCTCGAGGTGGGGTGAGGGTGGGAGTTAGAGCATCTCCAACAGCTTCCCCATTTTCCACTTTTGGAGAATAAAGTTAGGTTTTTGGTCCAACAGATTCCCCATCTCATTCCCCAAAATAGGGATGGAGGAGAAAAAATTGGGAAGCTTCCCCAAATCTGTAACATTCTCCAAATTTTTGGAGGAAAAAAATGGATTCTTCAAAATGGAGAAGCTGTTGGAGTTAGTGTAAAAATAATTTGGAGAATATGACTTTTACCTCCCTATTTTGGAGAAATTTTTAGAGAAGCTGTTGGAGATGTCTTTAGGGGAGTTGCTGCCCGATTGCTCTCATGCTCTTGAGTATGATATTCATGTGCCTAGGGATTGCACTGAGCAAAAAAAAAAAAAAAAAAAAGGTATTAGGATCCAACTTGTTTAACTTGATTGCTGGGATCCTTTCTTGGCTTCAAACTCGCAGGATTGGATGATCAGAACTTATCGACTAAAGGTGCGGGGTTGATATGCAAGGTGTCTTAGGCGGATATTTTCACCGAGTAGGCTATTTACAGTATTTGGCTTGGCACAACAAAAAGGTTCACTGCATCCTTACCTTTTGTTGATCTTGCCGGTGATTTCATAAGTATCCATTAAATCATGGGTATTATAAACATAACCCCCAAAATCTTAGTATTTTCAAAACTATCCCTCAAATCATCAACTTTGTCAAAAGATCCGCCTAAAGTTAACAAATCATCAACTTTGATGCTAAATTTTTAGCTATTTCATTAGTATTTTTTGCATTGTGATTACAAATCATCTAATCAAATTTGATGATTAATTGCTTCGAGTAGGGCTGAGCATGGTTCGGTCCAAACCGAAAAAACCGACCGAACCGATCCGGAAAAATCGGTTTTATGAGTAGGGCGGTTCGAGTCGGTTTGAAAACTTTTCAACCCGAATCGACCGAATATAATGCAATACTACTCATTCTGATCTCAAATCCTACCTGATCCATCCCCAAAGAGTCAAAGACTCAAATCCTAAACTCATTTTCTGAATCATTATGGGTTGAAAACAATATCATTATATCAGTATTTAATGTTTCATAATCTCCTACTTTGTTGATATTTTTTTTCTTTAACATAGTTTGTTGTTTGATAAGAAGTTTGATAAAGTTAGAACCGAACAAACTGAACCGAACCGCACCGAACCGAACCACAACAGTTCGGTTCGGTTTTGAATTATAGGCGATTCGGTTCGGTTGTTCAAATTTTGATAAAAACCGAACCGAACCCACCGTTGCACACCCCTAGCTTCGAGGGTAACTTTTTTTTCAAAATTGATGATTTGAGGGGTTGTTTTGCAAATACTGAGATCGAGAGGGTATTTTTGCAAATGCACATGATGTATTTGCTAATAACCCAAAATAATAATAATAATAAATAATAATAATAATAGTAATAGAGGAGGAAGAAAATAGCTAGAAGAAAAGGGAATAAAAATTCTCGCGGGGGTTCTGCTTCTTCCTCATCGAATATGAGCACTGCAATGAAATCGAAAAATTAAAAGGGCGAAATAAGGAGAGAAAGAAAAAAAAAATCCCGCTTTAGATTTTTCTATCAATCTCGACAATTTCAATTTTGGTCATGGCCTCCATCGATCTCATCAGATCTTGCCTCGACTCCATTCGCCAGGTTAAAAACCCTTTTCCTCTCTCTCTCTCTCTCTCTCTCTCTCTCTCTCTCTCTCGATTCCTCCATTCAACTGAACTAAATGTTGTAAGTTTGCAATTTTAAAGTTAGGGCACGGTCGAACTTGAAATAAATTTACCGAATATCACTTTTTTTTGTATTTTAAATCGAGATTAGAAGAATTATCTAGATTTTTTAGTAGTTATCCTATTTGATTTTGGATTTTGTAGATTTCAGAGGAGATTAAAGATGCTGTTGTTTATCTGGATGCTGGTTGCTTGGAGGCGTTTCAGTTCATTGGAGCATTTCCACTGCTGTTGGAACTTGGGGTGCACTCTGTTTGCAGCTTGGAGAACATGTCTGCTCTTGACACTGTAAGTGTCCACAAGCACTTGGTCGATGCTTGCGTTGAATTATTCATTTAGTTTGAGATGTCACTTCCTTTGCTTTATAATGATGCTAAAAAATATCTCTGAACCAATCAAAATTCCGAAGTTGTATTGAGGGGTGAGGGTTATAATTTTATATCAGGTTGAGCACCTTTTTCATGGTCCGAGACCTAGAGTCGCCCCATAGTATTTTTTTGTTAAAATCTGCTTGAAGTTCGTGGCCGTTGGCATTTGAAATTGGGTTGTTCTGGTACCATGTTAAAGGTCTCCGTAGTTGTGGTGAATGGTCAAGTGTTATAAGTTTATATGCTAACAATATTGAATGGACAGTATGTACAACACCATTGTTCAAATATATTCAACTAATGTTGGTTCATTTAACTAAATACACACCACATGCTTTAACATAGAAGGTTATTAAATCTCTCTCCTGCACATGTTTTCTTCAAATTTTTATGATCGTGGTAAAGGGCATCAAGATAACCAAGCTGAAGAATTCTTATTTCCTATTTTAAAATCAGTTCCCCTTCCTACCTAAATAAAGCTGATACACTAAACAATGCCTGTAAGTAGAAAAATGTACAACACTTTCCTGCAATGGTAAAACTCAAAAAACATAGTGGCGCTAGAACTGTGTATGATGCCTATCTAGGATTTTGCTAATCTTTAATATATCTCTGTGTCTGTTGTGCATTATCTCGCATTTCCTGCACATGATCACCAGATGCATCCATGTTGGCCTGTGCACTTCCTCCACAACATGGTTGTCAAGATGTTAGTTGGACCCTCTGCATAGAGGTGATGCATAAGACCCTTAGAAGAGTTCCAAAAGGCCCTAACTTGATGTTCTCCTCAAATTAGTTAAGAGGTTGCCCTTAGACACTAGGCACTAGGCACTTCTAGGAGCCAGACCTCGTGTGTAGCACCCTGATGACTAGGCTGATGCCTAAGTGGGACATGGTTGTTTTTAACACCGAGAGAGGAAGGAATGTTTTCGAAGATTCAGATTGATATCCTCCACTGTTTTACCTGCGATGAACTTTGACGTTCTGACCATTTTTAACCTGGCCCGTTCTCTTCTACCTCTACTATGCTTAGGGCATGTTTAGATAGAGAGGAATAGAGGAGAAGGGAAGGTAAGGGAGCCCATTCACCATGTTTGGAAAGTTCTTAAGAGTGAAAGTGTTCCCCCTTATTCTTCTAGATTCCCCTAGAACCAATAGAGATTTGTTTCCTCCCCAAATTGGGGTGGATTTGAGGGAAAGAAAATTCCCTTACCTTTCCTTCTCCTCTCCCCTATTTTCCCTTAACTTCCCCTATCCCTAATGAAATCCAAACATGCCTTAAACGAGCAATTTACCTCCTCCTAATGTGGTACAGTCCACATAAGTAATCTCTGTTACCCTAGGCGTGCCTAAGGCTCGGGGGGGCTGCCTATGTACAACGTAGGTAGGTTTAAGCGACCGCCTAGATTAGTACCTAGACTGCTTAATAAAACAACACCCTTAGAATTTTTCCCAAATGCCTGTAAATTCTAGCTCCTCTTTTGCCTCCACTACACTCAAAGAGAATAGATTCTGGATGGCCTCTAATATTAAATTGACCTTCGAGTACCCTCTCATTGAAGGGGGCAGCGTTGACATAGAATGTTTTCTATTGACTTCCTGTTTGAGATCATTTGTGCTGATCCATTTTTTTCCAGAAAGACCTTCAATATTGGAATATTATCCTTATAGAAAAGACACCGAGGCTTTGACTGAGAGAGTCTTTGATCTTTTAATGACCTTGGTTGTCAGCACTCTCTTTTCCAGACTTAGTGAACCTCAATGAAGATGTACATGGATTTCACCATTTAGGTTCTCTTCTTGGAGCACCTTCCATACACTGTGTCTAGTGTGTTCCCTTCCAGTGGTTTTTGGTCCTGAGTATGTGTGATTGGGTAGTCGCTTATCCTTATTGGAGTTCTGAAGTTGAATGGAATCTACATATCCAGTTATCACCTCTGCTGTATGACGCCTGAGATCTGTCTCCAAGACAACCCAACAAAACAAAGGTATGCATATTGCAAAGGAATGCTTAGCAGCAAGAGTCTGTGAGAATCAGATGGACCTTCCATTACCTAATGTGAATTGCGAAGAAGTTTTCTTTATACTTGCACAACATGTGCCTCTTTCCAAATCCCACTTGTGTGCAAACCGTATGCCTAATGACCTAATGAAACTGGATTCAGATTTCTGTAAATCCTAGATGTGGTATCCACCTGGGCTCATTCCTGAAATTGGTTTTCAGCGTGCAGATTCATCGTTCAGTTAATTATTCTTCGCTTTGTGAAGACCTATCCAATTTTATTGTGATTTTCCTGATCTAGATGATTATACTTCTCTCACAGTTAAAGCATGATTGTTTTTTTCTTGTGTCAATGACCTTTGCATTACCAGGTTTCAATACAGTGTGGACAAGATGTTTACATTTGAACAAAATTTTGTTCTCAGAATGATCCTTTTACTGTTCATTTTATTGACTCCAACATAAGAGATGATCAAGTAAAATTGTCATAAATAAACTAAAGATGGTAATAAGTAATCCTGACCAAACTTTATCACCATAGTGAAGCAACACCATGAAGCCTGGAAAAAAGAAAGTAGCAAAAAAATTCATGTTTTTTCTACATTCTCAGATATCACAAACTGTGAAGCCTAGAAAGACTAGTGGTGGGACACCTCATGTTTTACTTTATCCTCGCAACCCATATTGTGTATTATCTTGGAGCTTCACTCATTCTCTTGATGCCACAACCTAACTGTTTTGTATACATCTGGAAACAGCATGCTCACCAGGCACCACACCGTGTAGGGTGGGGCGGGGGACAGATTTGCTTTTATCCAGTTCTCCTTTCACTCTTGCTGCTTGATGCCAGTACATCCTCATTTCTTATCGATTTTGCTCAGATGTCAAATGCTCATGTTTTGTAGGCAATCTCAATATGACATTTATTTATCAGACTGCAGGCTTTGATTGAGTGGTTGCTCCTAGTTGAGTATGTTCTTAGGCACATTAGCTGAATGATGTATCAAAGCTTAATGGATATTTGAAGAACTGTACTATGTTGAAAAGATCATTTGATGACAATTATCTTTGGTTCCCTTTTATTGCAGACTGTGGGTTGGAAGTCAACATGCTCAGGTCCTGCACGAAAGATGGTAGTTATCACGTCTTGTCTTCTCAGTGATGCACATCGGTATATCCTGCATTGTCTGGGCACTCATCAAACAATTCTTCGTTGTATTATATTTACATCTATCTCAGAGGTGCTTCTTAAATACCCAATTGATTTCTATTATTTGCAAAGTTTTCAATCCTTTACTTCTGTTGAGGTCAACTATGCATTTGCAAAATTGTTCACCGAACACAGTTTCTATGTGCTAGTTATAATTACCTCTCACTAGGTACAAGCCTATGTAGCATATAGGTAACACAGTTTGTTATACATTTTATCAAATAGCTTAACAAACTTTGACTTTTGATTGTTGCATGTCCTTGCATCAAATATTCTACCCACAAATTAACTGCTTGATGTCCCTGAAACTTCTATTCACTATGGTCTACTGGCAAATTGATGTTTATCAGACTGGAAATTTATCACCCAAATTCTACTTCCTCTGAAAATAATGAAGAGAATATGGATCTATACGACCAATTTGGTGGTGGTTGGAAAACCCTGAACTTTTTATATTCTCATTTTTTACGTTGTCTGCATGCAGAATTAAAGCAAAAGAGTTTGAGCACCCCAATTTGATCATAGATTCATCTTTTTTGGGGGAATAGTATCAAAACTATCACAAAGTCTGTAAGTAATCAGTATGTGAGAAGTGTTCCTTGTAAGTAATTAGTATGTGAGAACTTGTCAATTTTCCCTTCCCCTCCTTTACCCCCCAATTTGGGGTGTAAGGCTTTAGTCTAAAATTTCCCCTCATTTCCTTCCTCTACCCTCCAAATAAAATTCCCAAACAAGGTTAAACTCAAATTTCTCTACGACCAATTTGGTGGTGGTTGGAAAACCCTGAACTTTTTATATTCTCATTTTTTACGTTGTCTGCATGCAGAATTAAAGCAAAAGAGTTTGAGCACCCCAATTTGATCATAGATTCATCTTTTTTGGGGGAATAGTATCAAAACTATCACAAAGTCTGTAAGTAATCAGTATGTGAGAAGTGTTCCTTGTAAGTAATTAGTATGTGAGAACTTGTCAATTTTCCCTTCCCCTCCTTTACCCCCCAATTTGGGGTGTAAGGCTTTAGTCTAAAATTTCCCCTCATTTCCTTCCTCTACCCTCCAAATAAAATTCCCAAACAAAGTTAAACTCAAATTTCACTTTCCCTTCCCTTCTCTACCCTCCATCCAAACACAGCATAATAGAGTGGCCTTCATCATTTTTAGACAGGCGTCATCATTTCATGTACGTGTTCCATGCATCATGATGCGTCATAGTTATATTTTTCCTGGATTTGCACAGAACATGCTGCACACCACTTAATCCCAACATCCTGTACCATTTTTCATCTAGATTTTGTAACTTGGGGTCAGTTTGGCAACTTGAGTGCTGTTGTGGACCAGCCTAACCCAGATTAGTTCTGGATGTGGGGACTTGGATTATTCCTGGCCCAATTTGGGCAAAATGTGACCTAACAAAACTGGTTTAGTCCAGTCATTAGGTTTTGCAAAACTGGATTACTCGTTGTCCGATTATTGTTCCACTCAATCTGCTTAACTCAGTTTGCCGGACAGCACCTTGTAGTTCACATTTCTTGATTTTTAGCTTGGTTTCTTTTTCCTTATCGTATTACTACACAGATAGCTCACTCAGCATGTGTTGATTCACCTTTGGGACCTGATGCTTTTCATGAATATGAGACATTGGTTCTCTTAGACTACGAAGAACTCATCAAGAAGTCTGAGAAGAAGGGATCTGTTTTGCATCCACGTGAGAAAAGGAAGTCAACTGATATTCATAATGAAAAATTGACTTTTAATGATGATGGTTCTTCTCGAAAAGATTTATCTGATGATTCTATCGAAGATTATGACATTAATATGGAATCTGGTTCTTCTCGAAAAGATTTGTCTGATGATTCTATCAGCTGCAATGAAGCAGGAGATGGTTCTACACAGTTGCAGATCTCTGTGCACCACTTCCCTATGATGATGTGCCCTGTTTCACCAAGAGTCTTTGTTTTCCCTTCTGGAGGAACGGTCTCAGAAGCATGCTTGGCGAATGATCTTGAAGACTCTTTTAGCCCTGGATTACCCTCCATCTCTACTGGTCAGCCTACTGATGGTGAGGATGTTCCTTCAGGGGCAACACTGACTGCTAATTTTCTTTACGAACTTGCTGCCAAGGTATTTCTACAAGATATCTTCTTGTGGACTACTGCCATGTTATTTTAATTATCAAAGCTAAAGGGTAAATTTCACAAAACACCTCGACTTTGTGGGGGTGGTTTTGCACAAAACCCCCCATGAACTTTATAAGTCAGAGAAACCCCTTAAACTTTCAAAGCTATACTAAACCCTCGCGGACTAGCGAAAAATCTCATAAACGATGTTAAATTGGTAGCACACATAAGTTTGAACTATAACACATCAAAATTTGTGACTACAACTTAGAATGAAGAGCATTCATGTGGGTCAACAAGAAATAACAATCAGGTGACATTTTTAGACTGTTCTTATGAGATTTTTCAATATTTAAGTGAGTTTTGTGCAATTTTTAAAGTTTGGGACGATTTTGCTAAATTTACTCAAAGCTAAATTATTTCTTCAACATTTTTTTTTCCTTCTATCTATAGACTTATTTTGTTCCTTGTCTTCTTTTGATCATCAACTGGGAAGATGGATCTGAAGCTTGAAATATTCTCACTTGGTGATACATCGAAAATTATTGGGAAGATGCTGACGGACATGTCCAGTCTTTATGAAGTGGGTCGGCGAAACAAAAAATCAGCTGGGTTACTGCTTATTGACCGTACACTTGATCTTCTTACACCTTGTTGCCATGGTGATTCATTTCTTGACCGCATATTGTCCTCTGTGCCTCGAAGGGAAAGAACCAAATCCTCTTTTCTTGCTAGAAGTTCTCAAGCAGTGATCAAACGTTCCCCTGTTAGTCCACAACGCCCTCCACTTGATATAAGAATACCTTTCGAAACAGTTTTAGGTAAAGAGGAACCTGCAATGAACAGCACTCATCTTTCTGAGAGCATTGTTGATTTTGTATCAGGATGGAACTCCACTGAAGTTAGCTATGACACCGATGATTTAGTTGATCTTGCTGACAAGGTCCATAATGAGAAACTGGATCCTGAATTTAGTAGCTTGTTAAGTGGCTCTTTTCTATCAAGCTATACGGGTGCAAATTACTTAGAAGCATTGCTTGATAGGGGCGCAAAAGATGGTGCACTAATGATCAAGAAATGGCTTATAGAAGCTTTACAGAATGATAAAATACCCATAAATGCAAAAGGTCGTCTGGGTTTAACAAGTGCTTCTGAGCTCAATACTTTGGTTAAGAAGTTAGCCCCTGATCAAGTGTCTTTAATTAGAAACAGGGGGATTATACAGTTGGCATTAGCTTCTGAAATTGTTCTGAGCGAGCCTCATACTTCTCGTTGGGATGCATTTGTGAGTGCCGAGAGAATTCTGAATGTAAGTTCTGTAGACACTAGCCAGAGCCTTTCAAGCCAAATCCGTGACTTCATCCATACAAGTATTTTATCAAAACCAAATGAACAATATAAAGCTACAGGATCATCGAACAGCCTTCTCTCATTTCAAGATGCATTGCTTCTAGCAGTTATTGGATACATCTTGGCTGGAGAAAATTTTCCAACATCTGGGTCAACAGGACCTTTTTCTTGGGAAGAAGAACATCACCTAAAGGAAGCTGTAGTTGATGCTGTTCTTGAGAGGGCTACTGCAGAAAATTTACGGTTTCTTCATGGTCTAGAAAAAGAGCTTGAAAAGAAATCTAAAAATTATGAATCGCCAAAGCCCGAGCCTAATGTTGACGACTTTGATGGTCAGTGGGGTAGTTGGGATGATGAAGATGCCGATCAAACAAATGACCAAGCATATGGTGATATGCAACTTAAATTGGAGTTGCGAGATAGAGTAGACAATCTTTTTAAGATTTTTCACAGATTATCTGGTTTAAAGTGGAGAAATCCTTCTCTTAAAGAGGGTTGGGTAGCATCTGCAAGTAATTTTGGAGGCGATCCTTATGCTAGGAAAGGGCTGATTTATAAACTTCTAACCACTATATTGGCAAAATATGATGTTCCTGGGTTAGAGTACCATTCTTCTGCAGTTGGCCGTTTCTTGAAAAGTGGGTTTGGTAGATTTGGCCTAGGACAGGTATCTTTTCTAGTTTTTGCATTGGGTTAATTGCACGTAGACCCCCTGGTGTAGTACTACCGTTTAAATTACCCCTTATGCAATATCTGCCAATATTTCACTATGTCAAAAACAAATTAACCCAGGGGGTGGGGTCTATATGCAACAATGAAAGTAGAGAGGCAGTAAGTTCAAAATAGCGACACTAGAGGGGATCTATGTGCAATTAGCCCTTTTTTCTTGTCTCGATGTTGTGTTATCTACTTTGGTTATATATTTTACAGAATGTAATGTTTTTCGCAGGCAAAACCAAATTTTGGTGACCAGAGTGTTCTCTTGGTTTTTGTGGTGGGAGGCATTAACACACGTGAGGTTTGGATTTTGTTCTGTTTCTTTGCAATTCACAAGCGACGTCCCATCTTTTGGCATTCTTTTTAACTTCAAACGGCATCCAATAGTAGCACAAATATTAGGCAGTCGATTTACTTTTCTTTTCGTTTTGACATCTCAAATACTATTTGTCCATAACACAAAATTTAAACATGTTTTTTTTTGGTATTTCAAGGTTAGAGAAGCCATGGAGGCAGTTTCAGAAAGCGGTAGACCGGATATAGAGTTGATTCTCGGGGGCACGACACTTTTAACTCCTAATGATATGTTTGACTTGCTGCTGGGATCTTCAAGCTATGTTTAATCTTTTAGCGTTACATCTTTACACAATGATTCTGGATATAGCTTTTTCATCATGTGAAATCATCGATCAATGCACCACAAGAATGTGTTTGAAGCAGAAACTCAGTACACCTCCATCAAATGGACATGCCTTGAAATGGTTAGATTCCGTCCCTAAATCTAGGTGTTCTGATAGCAGTGCCAGCACTATAAGATAGAAAATACACTAACAGAGGCATTCACTTTGGTTGATTTCATGATCATACTACTCAAAGAAACTGCTGCTAATTTAAAAAATTGGAAGAGTTTTATTACTCAAATACTGTGATAGCTTCTAATGTTACCTTGGATTGGATAGGGGTAACTATCATCTCCCACTGCAGTTGAGTAGAGCAAAGCATTATGGATAATGTTGGTCTATGTATCTAAAAGATCTTTCTTGTAATTGGCTTTCCTTGATGTATCATGTGAAAGAAGTTGATAAACATACTTGTATATGCAGAAATTGTTTAACATTTTTTCTAACTTGTTATAACTTCTAGGTTTTCCCCCTAAACACCGCCTTGAAAACATGGTAATTATACAAAAATTACTTTTGAATTTCAATTTATAAATAAACCATCTTTAAAGTAGGTTTATGATGTGATCCAGTGCCTCTCTAATAAGACTTTTGCTAAACCCTAGAAAGACCTATAAAAAATCTCTCATTCAAGGTGTATAACTCATTTTGTTAATGTTTTGGTCTTATTAGAATACATGTCACGTAAATTAGACATGCATTTTTTAAGCCTAATTTTGATGTTCTATGAAAATTCGACCCGGAGTTGATTGATTGCAACATAAATCTACTTTAAAGGTGATTTATGTATAAATTAAAATTCAAAAGTAGTTTTCGTATAGTTACCCTTATTTTTAGTTGGTTTCCAGAAAAGAAGGTGTAAAAAAACAACTTCTATGTCATTGAGATTTATGAGATGTTTTTGCAAAATCAGCACTTAAAATCTTTCAGCTTGTTAATGATAATTTCATATCACGTCTAATTAGGTTTCATATAGACTAGTATAATGCACGTGCTTTGCACGTGAACGTACATGTTTTAACTTTGAACTTTTTGTTGAATAGTAAAATTATGTGTTAATAAATAAAATTGTATAATAAGATTGCTTAAAAAGAAATGTACAAATTAATTATTATGTAGTTATTATAATGGAATGTTTTTCTTATAATAATTGCCTAGTACTAACCTTTTTAAAATAAGTCCCCTAAATTTATAATTGTTCTTAAATAAGTCTGGCAAAATTTTAAGTTCTCTTAAATGTGTCCCTCCAACTTGAAAGTTATTAACTTAACTCTAAATTAACTAAGATGCATTGATCTTTCTAGCTTTTTCCTGATATTCCGTAGATAGCTATACTTAATACTAGTAACATATTACTATTGTTACTTCTCATTATAATTATTTAATAGAGTAAATTACACTAAACTCTTATGAATTTTTGGCCTACGATCTTTTAAAATTACACTAAAGCCCTCATAATTTTTCTGTTTCAAAGAAAACCCCCAATAACTTTCTAAAATTTGTAGATAATCCCTATAAATTAGAACTAGAAAATGACATAAAATGCATTTTGAAAGTTATTGGGGGTTTGGTGTAATATATCTAAAAGATATTGGGGGTTTCTACAAAAGTTATTAGGGTTTAGTGTGATTTCAAAAGTTCATAGAGTCTATTTAGTGCAAAATGATGAAATTCATGGGGATTTATTATAATTTATCTTATTTAATATTATAATTCTTAGTTCAATAGATACTATTAAAATAATCATATTATCTCTATACTATAAAATAATTATCTAATTTAATTTTTTAATTATGCTCTTTATACTTTAGTACTATAAGCACTATAAATTTTTATTATACTGTCATTAACAATTAGTAGTATTATTAATAATATTAAATAATTTTTTTAATAAAAAGGTTAGTTTTTAGTCATCACTAAGTATATGTTATTCAGTATCATGTAATAATATTTGAGAAAATATTTTTAAAATGATATTAAATTATTTATTGAATTTATTCAATAATATAATACTAAATAAGTAGTGTAATTCATAATTTATATGACATTGTTAAAATAATTACACTATTTATGACATAAAATATTTACTCTATTTATTTTATTGTTCATTGAATTATTGCATAATTCTCAATAGTATTCAGAAATATATTATTTTATGTATACTATTATTTTAATTATTTTATTATAATTTTTAAAAAATAGTAATAATAATTTAATTGGTTACTATTAATAGTTGTGTATACTTATTTTATAAATTATATTATTATTAAATAATTAATAGTTATAATATAATTAATAATTATAATTGTTTGGGAAGGTGAGGAGGTGCATAATTAATAAGTGGTTATATTTATCTAATGAATAATTAATTGGAGATAATGACATAGTTAGAATTTATCAAAATTTGTGAGGTCAAAAAAGGAAACCAAAATATTTAACACCCCAGTCCTTTTTTTTTATAATAGATATAGATATAGATATAGATATATATAAGGTTGATGAATTAAAAATTCTCAAAAATACCAAGCTTAGTTCAGTTTGTGATTATCAAGCTCCAATCTAGCTGAGAATCATTATGCTAACAAATGCTGCAGAGAACTAATTGAAATGGACTCAACCCTATAGGCTACAGAAGATTGACCTCGTAGCTAAGTAGGTGCGTTTGATTTGTGCTTGGTGCTAAAGAGGGTCCAAAACTCTCGCATTCATCTTCGAAGTTTATAATCTTCGTTTTCACTTTATTGCTGTTACATTTTTCATCATAATTATCAGTATTACTTTATATCAGAATGAATTTAAGTATTTAACCTGAATCTTAACAAGATCAGGCACCGGAGCACATAAAGGAAGTTTGTAATCTACTGATCTTGTTCACGCAGCCCGCTCATCAGGCGGGTACTACGGAGGAAGCGAAACTTTTAGTCCCACATCGTCTAGGCTAAAGATTCAGGGCTCCCAAGCACCTATAAATATAGGCTACAGGCCTCCCTTCGAATTCATACCTTTCTCGGCCTTTTGGCTAAGATCAAGTGTAGTATCTGTTCTTATCAGTTTAATATCTGATACGTGGGCCATTGGCCCACTATGATATTAAATTAATTTTTGTTGGGGGAGGGCCTAACACAGTAGCTTGCTGCTGAGGCTCTCGGGCGTCGCCCATGCGTTGCACTGCTGCATGGGCCTGGCGCACCCCTACCAAATCCAATCATCAAATATTTTAAGCTAGTAATAATCTACTACGCCTCTCTGTCTCTATTAATAAAATTTTATTTATAGGCTAATAATCTACTACGGCTCTCTGTCTAATAGAGTGCACTGGTTCTCAAATAAAGGTGTTATTACAGTTTATACCCCCCTCCTAGCTTTGGATGAATAACAAATATCTACCCTGAAGTTTCAGGTACATGTTTTGTTACAATTTACACCCCTCTTAACTTTGAAGGAATATCAAATAACTCCCTTATAGTTTTTAGAAATATGTTGTTACAATTTACACCCCTCTTAACTTTGAAGGAATATCAAATAACTCCCCTATAGTTTTTAGGGGTTATCATCAGAAAACTCCTTAATTTTAAGATTTTATAAGAAAATATCAAATCTAAAGATGAGTTCATTATGACCCCTAAACTTTTAAGGTGTTCTTTGATATTTTGAAAGTTATGTAGGGTTATCTGAAGAGGAGTTGTATGATATTTAGCCTATAAATTTTTTCTCAAAAGGAGATAAATATCATGAACCTGTTCTACTCACCTTATATTACTGTTTTTTCGGTAAAGTGAATGACATTTCGCGGAAGTCCAATACGAAATGACTTATTCTGCTATTATAATGAAATTAATAGAAACACTATTAATAAATAAACAAAATTAAAAAGTTTAAGTTAAACATCATAATGAAAAATATAATATTTGAATTTTAGGGCAGCAATTTCTATTAAACCATCAACAAAAAAAAAAAAAAAAATCATGCGTTAAACTTATCTACAAGTGATTGGAAGTGGTATTACCTTGGAAAATAAGAACAATGATCCTACCTATACCTCCCTATGGGAGTGAGGTGGTCCCATTATAAATATAAAAAAGGATAAATACATTTTAGTCTCTTAAATTAATTTTGAAATATCCCTCAAATCTTAATATTCGTTAAAATGTCCCTCATATTTTTTTTATTGCCAATTTGCCCTTCTGTTAAGAGCAGTTTTATGATATTTAGCATTAACCCAACATGTAAAATTACCCATGTGCCCTAGAAAACAGTTCTTTCTTAGTTTTGAAAAGTAGAGGAGACGAAGAGGAATGAAGCACAGTAAAGAATTTGGAGAATTATATATGAAATTTTAAAGCCCAAGGCTTTCACTTCATGGGTTGCCTGCTAATCGGGGAATCAAAGGCCTCCAACTCACTGCGGGCTCGTCATCCTCGTCAAAATGTAAATTACACTGGAATGCTGACACCCAAAATTACACCCACCGACGCAGGAAGCCCACTCCTACTGGATAATGTCCCTCTCAAGGGTGCTGTCACTTTGTTTTATTCTTCACCTTCGTCTCACGATATCCTGGGCCCCACTCCAGGCTCAGATGCCCTCGCCAACAGG